TTTTTTTTTTTTGATTGTGGAAAATAGATACTTACTCGAAGCTTCAGAAGTTTTTTCAGTGGTGATTATTACATTAGTAGATAAAGAACCATTGTCGTCTAAAATTACTAATTAAAAATCTCAATAATTATTGTTGTTTGTTAAAAGCTGTAAAAATTGATTAATTTTTCTAGTTCTGAAAGACCAGAGCATCATTTGAAAATTTAAGACATTTTTGACTGAGATATTTATCGTTCAATTCTTGTCTGTGTTTTGCCTAGAAGTTGTTTGAGTAAACAAAGTTATGTCAAAAATATATATATTTTTTTGCAACTGAAGAGATGAATTACCAACCATTATTGTTCTTTCGGACAGACACAACGATTATAGCAACAATCAAAAAAAGAATAATGACTGATAAAATGCCTATTGTCCAAATAAGACACCATTTCCTGCGCTGCAGGAATCGAGATATTCTTTCCAGATTTTGTTCCATGTTGCCTCTTGATGTCTCAACTTGAGGACTTTCTGAGTTATCATATTCGCTGTTTTCGGCATAAAATTGGCGTTCCTTATGACTGTAATAATTGTACGCCATTGTGGGCACTTAGCCTTAAAAGCAAAATTTTTCTTTTGCACCTTATGCTGGCTGATCCGTGAACGTTGTTTCACTTTCTCACACAGAAGCTTATATAAATATATAATTATATATTGCATTACAGGTAGCATAGCATTTTGTAATATATGTAATACTTATTCGATGAAAAATCTGAAACGTTTTGCGGTAAAGACATGAAATCTTGAGGTAGAGTTTTTGAGCCAAGTTCAATTTTTTTAAAGCTAGCCAACTTATCAAACGTTTTTCGATGTTCTATTTTGAAATTTTTTACAGAAAATACAGTGAATTTTTTATCCGTTACGCTTTTATATTTTTATTTATGCCAAAATTCAAAGTTTAGAAATAGCAGTACAAATCGGATTTGTTTTCCAAACTTTGTATGGGTTCAAAATTAATTTGTCAGTGATTTTGACAAGTCTTCTACGGGTTAATATCGGTCAGATTTTTTAATAGCGTTGATGTTTGTGCACTACTGCTATAAGCCTAACTGGTTCAGACTGCTCGTGTAAATATATTAAAGCTGTAATAAATTATTAGTAATGTTTATTACTGTAAAAGAAGCAGTTTTACTCAGCTTTGGAAACGACTTTTACTGCACAGACGTTTAAAATAAGGTTGGCAAAAAAAGGATTTTAGAAGAGGTATACAAATATACAAACAAAAAGTGTTTTGTAAAAATATTACAATATGTGGAGGCTACGACAATTAGTTAAAAAAGAATATTTAGCTCATTCCTTGGTTATTCCTGTTAAAAATAAGTGATTTAGATGCATGTAAATTTTAAAAAGTTAGCGAAATAGTGTGAAGAAATTAATCCAACGAAAACAAAATTGCAAAAGTACATTTATGCCGCTATCTGTTGCTGCGATTTCAAAGTTTTTAAGTCAAGTTCTGAAAGTTCTTAAGGCTATTTTTTGAAAAACTGTTATTGATTAAAATTTACCGTTCTATTTCAGAAGTGCAGTTTTATCAAAAAAACAATAGGTATCTAGTACTCTCAAATTAAATGTTATTCTGCACTCTTCTATAATTACATTTTAGTGGAGAAGAACAGTTGAGAAAAACTTAGAAGGTGATTTTACAAAGCTATCTCTACACAATAATTATAACATGAAGCATATTAGAAGGGTGGAAAAGTTGTATATATAGGAGTGGTTACATAGTATAGGTAAACAAAAGAACTAAAGTAACTTGTACTCGTAGTACCTAATAAAGTCAGAACCTATCTTATATAAGTACCGAAACTGCCCCACCCATAACGGAGGTGCTTATGAATTTCTGATTACGTGATATTTTTTGGTTCTAGTCAGTATCTAGGACGTCACTTTTTACTTTGTTTTATGCACCATTTCAAAGTCAAATTGCTTAATAATAAAGTGAAAAAAAGAAA